CTGGGTTTTTTTTTTAAGATAAACAAAATTGACAAAACTTCAGCTAGATTCATCAAGAAAAAAGAGATGACTCAAATAAAATCAGAAAGAAAAGAAGAGACATTACAACTGATACCACAGAAATACAAAAGATCATAAGGAACTACTATACACCAAAAAATTAGACAACTTAGAAGAAATGGATAAATTCTTAAAAAGATTGAATCAGTAATCAAAAACCTCCCCAAACCCAAAAGTCTTGGACAGATGGCTTCACTGGTGAATTCTGCCAAACATTCGAAGAAGAATTTATAGCAATCCTTCTCAAACTCTTCCAGAAAAACTAGAAGAGGAAGGAATTCTGCCAAACTTATTTTGTGAGGCTAGCTTTAACCCTGCTACCAAAACCAAACAAGGATATTACAAGAAAAGAAAACCACAGGCAAATATCCCTGATGAACATAAATGTAAAAATCTTCAACAAAATATTAACAAACCGAATTCAACAATACATTAAAAGGTCTATAAACCATAAATAGGTAGGACTTATTCCTAGGATGCAAGGATGGTTCAACATCCAAAAATCAATGTGATATACCACATTAGCAAAATGAAGGATAAAATCACATGATCATCTCCATAGATGCAGAAAAAGTACTTGACAAAGTTTAGTATCTATGATTTAAAAAAACTTTCAACAAAGTGGTTATAGAAGGAATGTACCTCAACATAATAAAAGCTATATATGACATACCCACAACTAACATCATACTTAACAGTGAAAAGCTGAAAGCTTTTCCTCTAAGATCAGGAACAAGACAATGATGCCCACTCTTGCCAGTTTTATTCAGCATAGTATTGGAAGTCCTGGCCATAGCAATTAGACAGGAAAAAAATAAAAATCATCTGAATCAGAGAGAAAGAAGTAAAACTGTCAATATTTGCTGATGACATGACATTATATATAGAAACCCTAAAGACTTCCTCAAAAAATTGTAGCTCTAAAAAATGAATTCAGTAAAGTTCCAGGATACAAAATCACTATACAAAAATTTGTTGCATTTTTATATACATGAAATAATAAGCTCCCAGCACAGAGCTCCATAAATCCTAAGTGATGAGAGCACTAAGATCATCTCTTGTTCTATTATTTCTCTTTGACTTCTTCCCTGACACAGGGCTCCAAACCCACTGCAAATCCCTAAGTGGTAAGAGCACTAGGAGCATCATTCATTCCACTGAGATGACTCTGGATGTCTGGATGGGTGCTCGTCACCAGAAAAACTGAGCAATGACTAGAAGCTTGCAAATGTCAGCCTTACCCCTCAATTTCCAGAGAAGGGAGAAAGTCTAGAAACAGAGTCAATAATTAACCATGTCTGTGAGGAAGCTTCCATAAAATCCTAACAGTACAGGATTTGGAAAGCTTTCTGGTTGGCAAAACACCCACAATTGGAGCGTGATGCACCCTAAATTCAGGGACAGAAACTCCTGCACTTTGAACACTTAATATCCACAATACATAAAGAACTCACACAACTCAATAGTAAAAAAAAAAATACAATTTAAAAATGAGCAGAAGATCTGAATGGACATTCTTCCAAAGAAGATATATGGATGAGCAACAGGTACATGAAAAGATGCTCAACATCACTATTCACCAGAAAACTGCAAATCAAAACCACAGTGAGATATCTTATACCTGTTAGTATGGCTATTATCAAAAAGAAAGAAGTAACAAGTGTTGGCAAGGATGTGGAGAAAAGGAACTCCTGTGTACTGTTGGTGGGAATGTAAGTTGGTGCAGCCCCTACGGAAAACAGTATGGAGGTTCCTCAAAAAAATTACAAATAGAACTGCCATATGATCCAGCAACTTCTCTTTGGGATATTCATCCAAAAGAAAACAAAAAGAATAACTCAGAAAGATATATGTGCCCCCACGTTCATTGCAGCCTTCTTTACAGTAGGCATTGAATCAGCCTTGGTGTCCATCAATGGATAAATGGATAAAGAAATATATATATTTGTAATGTATATATAATGGTACATTATTCATAAGAAAGAAGGAAATCTTGCCATTTATGACAACATAGATGAACTGTTGAAGGCATTATGCTAAACGAAATAAGTCAGATAAAGATAAATACCATATGATCTCACTTATACGTGGAATCTAAAAAAACAAAACCAAAAACAAACTCACAGATACAGAATACAGATTAGTGGTTGTCAGAGGAAGTGTGGGGAGGTGGGTGAAATGGATGAAAGTGGTCAAAAGCTAAAAACTTCCAGTTATGAAATAAGTGAGTCCTGGGCATGCAATGTACAGTGTGGTGACTATAGTTAATAACACTTTATTGTATATTTGTTAGGAGAGCAGATTTTAAAAGTTCTCATTACAAGAAAAAAAACTGTAAATGTGTGGTGATGAATGTTAACAAGACTTTTGTGGTGATCACTTTGTAATATATATAATATTGAATCCGTCTGTGGTACACAGGAAATGAATATAATATGTCAACTGTATCTCAATTAAAAATAAAAAGAAGATTTGACACAACATTGTAAAATGACTATAACTCAATAAAAAAATGTTAAAAAAATAATTTAAACATTTTTTTAAAAATAAAAAGAAGACATAGAACTTGGAAAAAAGGGTTTTAATTTTGAGAAAGACTAATTTACCTATTTCTCTTGTGGCTTGTGCCTTCCTTTGGTGTATAGTTTCTTAGATGTAAGAAATAAGATACAAGAAACTATCACCTATTCCAAGGGCACAAAGATTTACTGTTATATTTCTTCTAAGATCTTTATAATTTAAAATTTTGCATTTAGATTTACGATTGATTCTGAGCTAATTTTGTGTTGGTGTAAGGTAGGGGTCCAACTTCATTCTTTTGCATGTGGCTCTCCAAAAGTCTTGGCACTTTTGTTGAAAATCAATGGACCATCAATCAATCAAGAAGTCCACTCGGCACAAGCTACTCCGAGTAGAATTATAGTCCCCAGGGTGAGACATGGGACACGTCTGACAAATTCCTGCCTTAAAGAGATGCTGGGAGGGCCTCTAAAATGCTGGGCACCTGAGAACCTTACAAACATCATTTCACGTCATCCTCAGGGCACGCTCCCGAAGGCAAATACTGTTATCCTCTCCTACAGAGGAGGAAACTGAGGCACAGAGATGTTAAGGGTTTGGGCAAAGCCATTCAGCTGGTCAGAGGGGAGCCAGGAATTGAGCCCAGCAGTTTGGCTCCCGGGTCTGAGCTCCCAACCACCACACTAGGTATAGAGCCTAACACTGTCCCTGCCGTATCTTTTTTTTTTTTCATTTGAAGTACAGGAGTTACAATGTGTCAATTTCTGGTGTACAGCAGGATGTCCCAGCTGTGCATACACATACATATATTTGTCTTCACATTTTTTTCATTAAAGGTTATTACAAGATATTGAACATAGTTCCCTGTGCTGTACAGAAGAAACTTTTCCCCTGCCATGTCTTGAGTTCTCAAAAAGACAAAAAAGCTCCCATTGGTTGTAAAATGAGAATAGATTTAAGATGACACATATGCACGTGCTGCTTTATGGGCTCCAACGAGCTGATCCGCCGAGCCGTCGTGAAAGGCGGCGCGTAGGACCTGGGCTCTGCGGGTTTCCTCGCGGCCACGTCTGTGATGTGACGGAGGACGTCCATTTGTGGAAGTTTCTGTTGGCGGAGAAGCCTTACCCGGAAGAACAGATTTCTGGTTCAATCTTAAATCAGCAACAAGGCTGAGAGAGTAAAGTAGGTTTGCTGCTGTTGAGGCTTCCTCAGTCCCATGGAGGGTTTAGTCCATCTATTTCTGGAGAGGTTTAGCGCACAGGAACCCACACCCTCACAGGCGTGTGCGCACGGAATGCACGGTCCTGCGTGCCCAGCTCCGGGAAGCTGCCTTGCCCTCGAGACACTTTGCTATTTAGAAGGGAAAAGCAACACGTGGAAATAAACCTTCAGGCGGCAGAGGATCTGTCTGCAGGATATTGCTGCCATCCTGATATTCAGGAACTGAAGATGCTCTAAAATAGCACAGGCGGGTAATTGCTGCCTTCGAAAGAGAAGGCAGCAAGAACTCCAAAGAATGCAAAGCAAGTTTGCTTCCACCCAAGTCAGGTGGATGCAGACAATAAATCTGCACCCAACATAAACATCAGTGTGAATTACTCTGGGGCAGCATGCTGGGAGTACGGACCCTAAAGAAAACACCCGCCTTTGTGACATGATCTCCGCGGCTTCTGCACAATGTTCGGTCCGTGCCAAGAGGAAAGCCAGCCCTAGAGAGGGTCATGTTCATAAGACACCTGGATTGGTTTCCCATCGCTGCTGTACAAATTACCCCAAACTTAGCGGTTTCGACAATACAAAACCTACCGTTTGACATCAGTGGCGGTCAGAAGTCTGAAGCGGGTCTCAAATCAAGATGTCAACAGGGCAGTGCCTTGGGGCATGCGCCCTCCCCTCCTGCCTGGACGTCCCTCCTTGAAGTTGCCCTGAAAGCACTCGGAAGAGAGTGGCAGGCAGGTGGCCTTGGACCTGGCCCTTCCTCTTAATGAAGTGTGACGGGCCCTCCCAGTAACATCTGCAGTTCCCCTCGCCCCAGCTGAGGCCAGGCAGATGTCAGAGCATCAGTCCTCACAATGTTCTCACAAATGATCGTCTTGGTTTAGTGACAAGGTAGTGGAGGCCTGGAGGGGTGATGTGAATCTCCTAAGGCCACACATCTGGGGAGTGACCTCTAGGATTCATGACCATCAGACTCAGAGTCTGCTCCCAAAGGCCTCCAGGAAGCCGGGTCGTGACTGGCGGGACCACAGAGGTGTCATGGGCCAGGACCCCTGCTCCCGAGGTGGTTTCTTGTGCATCTTACTTTCTTTAGGGCAGGGGAGATGTCTCCTCTTCCTTTGCTGTCTTCCCTAGTGGCCAGCGGAGTGCTACGTACACAGTAAGTGCCCAGTAAGTGTCTGTCACCTTGCCTTACCTACCTCTGATATAAATCCCGCGTCTCTCCCGAGAGCACACAGTTCCCTGTGGGGTCAGCACTCATGAAGCCCTAGCCTGGCGCATCCTCGGCAGGGCCCCACCTGTAAAAGGTCCAAAGCAGAAGGCAGAGTTAGGATACCTTCCTCTGTTTCACAACAGTCTTGTCTCTTAAGACTCTTGGTGCTTTGAGCCAAGATTCCTTTCCCTTTAATACAGAAGCTTCTGGAACCCATGCGCTGCACACGTCCTTCAGATGTGCCTTCTGTCCTGATTCCAAGAGGGAGACCTCAAGCCCAGGTGGTACAGCCCTTTTGTGCCCACAGAGGAGGGGGCTGGTGACAAGCAGGTGCGGCTGGCGGCCAGTCACCACCGACCTCCCCAAAGGTGAAGGCGGAGCTCAGCCAGGACGGCAAAGCCGGCCACCTTCAGACTGACGGGGGCCAGGAATCCAGCATCGCCTAGACTGGCCTCTCCTGCAGGAGCCAAGACCAGGTTTCTCACGGTCCTGCGGCCAAGGCAGCGCCTCGTGTGTCCTTCTCCGTGGCTCAAACAGCCCAGCCTGCTGGGACTTACGGAGGCTTCATCATGTAGGCGTGATCGATCATTAACTCTGTTTATGGATGATGGGGCAGGGAGGGGGCCTGAAAATTCCAAGTTTCTAATCCTGGCTTGTTCTTGCTGGTGACCAGCCCACATCCAGGAGCCATTCGGAAGCCCACCCAGAAATCACCTCATTAGAACAAAAGACGCTCCTATCACCCAGGAAATCCCTAGGGTGTCAGGAGTGTCCGGAACAGAGGTCAAAGCCCACTATTATAACAAGACATGCCCCTCGTGCTCTTATCATTTGCAAAATTCCAAGGGTTTTAGGAGCTCTGTGCCAGGAACCCGGGGCAGAGACCAATACATACATTTTCTATTACCTTACACAACCCGAAAGAGCTTCTGTTGCCAACTCCAGAACGATTTGAGCAACAGAATAAATAAGACAGCATTGGATTATGACCCAAGGTGTAACAAGGCATACGTGAACCCACACTGATGTAAATGATGATTGAAGAAGTAAATAAACGGGCGAGAAGAGGCAGCTTCTCCTCACAAAGGATTCCAAACACCACATGGACATGCTTCGCACTCCAGGGGGGTGCTTAGTCCCCACTCCTTTAAGCTCTGAGCCCAGACTCTGAAGAATATTGCAGGGAAAGTGAATATAGTAACTCAGAGTGGAGAAACCTGACAGAGACCCCCTCAGCCACGAGATGAAGGTTAAGGTCACCAGGGGTGCCACGGGGGGCGCATGTGCCCCCCTATGTGATGCGAGGCGAAGGGCACTTTGCCTCTTTAGTATTCTTTCTGAAAACCCATAACCCCAATCTGATCATGAGAAAAACACCGGAGAAACACAGATTGAGGGACCTTCTCCCAACTGCCTGACTGGTACTCCTCCAAACGTCAAGATCGGGAGGGGACAGCTCAGTGGCAGAGGCGTGCTTAGCGTGCACGAGATCCTAGGTTCAATCCCCAATGCTTCTATTTTTTAAAAAAGTAAATAAAGTTAATTACTTCCTCCCCCTAAAAAAAGTTAAAAAAAGTTATTTTTTAATTTAAAGAAAATTTTTAAAAAGAAAAAAAAGCTGTCAAGGTCACAAAAAACAAGACTAAGAAACTGTCACAGACCAGAGACGATAAACATGAAACTAAATGCAACGTGGGGTCCATGGGATCCTGGAACAGGAGGACGCCAACGAGAAAACAGGCGAAACCCAAATTCAGCCTGGAGTGTAGTTCGTAGAAACGCACCCAGGCTGGTTCCTCAGAGTGACAGCTGTCCCAGGTGATGGAAGGTGGGACAGTGGGGGAACTGGGGGGGCCGATGGATGGGAGTCTATGTATTCCCCTGGCAACTCTTCTGCAAATCCAAAATTTTTCCGAAATAAATTTACTTTTGAAAAATCTCTGAGATTTTAAATAACAGCTCCTTCACGCAGTCACCAAACACATATATTGCAGTTGCTCCATTCAAGACACTATTCTAAGCATCGCACGAACATCAATTCGTCCCTCTGACACTGTTGTGGCCACGTCTGGTCCCAGCCGGCCGGAGAGAGGACAAAGGACAGCCCCTACACTAAAAGGTCAGAGACCTGGGCACCACAAGCCAGGGAGGACAGTTTCTCTGGGGTGGGGGGATGTGGGGGAAATCTGCCAGCACTGACCACAGGCCAAGGGGGCATTCAGGAGCCCAGTGTGTCCGGAGCTGGGAACAGAAGGGCAGGCAGGACTCCAGAGACGGGGCAGAGGGCCCCTGGAGGTGACTTGCTGCCCTTTGTTTTACAGATGCTAAAGATAAGACCAGGGTTGGTGGGGAGGACCGACTCACAAGGGACTGTCCCCGGGAGCGAGGGAGAAGAGCCGAGATGCCCAGCCCGTCGCTCCCTGGGGGCTGTGCCCCCATCTGTGTCTCCCTGACGGGAGGTGGGATCTCTGTCCCCAGGAGGTGGGGCCACCCAGGGCTGTGAAAGCGCAAATGAGGTTGGCAGCCAGGCTGCCTGCTTTGGGGGATGCTTGCTGTGAAAAAGTCTGGAGCCCTCACCCTGTGCCGCCCCGGATGGAGGGGGTCTCACCAAGGGGTCAGGTTAGGGGTCAGGGTGGGATACCCTGGGCATGGCACAGCTGCTCCTGTGGCTCCTGCTTCAGGCCTCTGGGGACCAGGTCCTCACCTGCGTGTTCCTGCCAAGCTCAGGAGCGATGGGGGTGCGCAGAGCTCATGGAGAACTCTGTGCAGGCTTCCAAGAGCAAGGCAAGCTGCACTGAGTCAGCTTCTGAAGATGCAACTTAAAGACGTCGCTGGGAGCTGCTGTCCTGCGTCAGGACTGCTTTTAAATGTTTGCTCGTTGATTGGGTAAAATCTGAATTTCCCCTTGGACACTGCAGCTCTTGTCAGCCTTTGTTTATACGTAATTCATTCTTTGCAGCTATTGAAGCCGAAGAAGCCTGGAAATAAAGTTTGAAACAAAGTTTAAAGAAGTACTTTGTAAATAACCATCATCATCATCATCGTCATCATCATCATCATCATCATCATCATCATCTGGCCCGGCCTTGGCTCTGAGCCCCGGAGAGGCAGAGGGCAGGCTTGCTCACCTGGATGAAGGCAGTGGGTGAGGGGGCCACGTCCTGAAAGTGCCGGTCAGTCCTGGGCACCTCAGCGGCAACGCTGCACAGCTTTTCCCCTTCGACAGTCATTGTCAAATAGTGTGTGAGCAGGGGCAGGACCAGAAGAATGTGCATCCTCCCCTCCCTGAAGCTCGGCCACCCAGGGCCCTGCCTGGAAGCCAGGGGGCTCTGTTCCCTGGACAGGGCCCCTCACCCTCGCCTCCAGGGCAGCGTGGTCCCAGTTTCCAAACTCGACCTCCCCCGGTAGACGCTGGTGGCCACGTTACCGCCCGAAGTAACGAGCCTATGTGTTACCAAGG